ACTCACCCTCCACACACACTTTTCTCCTGCAGCTCCCAAACCCAGAGGTTGATCTGTTGAGCCTTCTCCTACAGAGTCAGCCAGGGTTCCTGGAAAGGGGTGCTGAGGCTAAAGAAATGTTAGATCGAGAGAAACTGAGACAGAAAACATAGGACAGATAGATTCAGGGGACTGCCAGCTTACTCTGGACAGCCCCAAGTTGATTTCACAGCCTGCTTATATACAAAAGCAGAACACAGCACAGCACCGTCAGTCAGTATCTGACCACAAGACTATTCCTGTCTTGCACAAGCAGTTTCTTTTATTTGGATGTTTCCTAAAGTTTGGCATTAGCAGTATTCTTTCTACTGTTCTTTTCTCATGGGCAAAATTCTCTTTCCCATGGGCTTAATCAGAACTTTCTCACAGCAAGTAGAGCAGGCAAGCTTGAACTCAAATGACTTTTAAGTCAGATCTGACTCCAGACGTAAACCAAGTCACATGTAAACTCCCACACTGACTGTCTCCCTTCCCCTCCCCTGTCAATAAACCTCCCATGTGAGTTCTGTCCTATGGTGTAACTTTCCTTGCCGCCACTACCACCACCTCAGCTGCCAAAACATAACAGTTCTCCTCAGTACAAACGAAAAAAGAACTGCAGAAAAAAACAGGGAAATTACACCGTTCAAAATTGTTCAGATTATATAAAATATCTTGGGGTAACTTTAACCAACCAAGCAAAAAACTTTTTTGACAAAACTTCAAGTCTTTGAAGAAACTGAAGAAGATATGAGAAGACAGATCTCCCAAGCTCATAGACTAACATAGTAAAAATGGCAATCCTACCAAAAGCAACCTACACCTTCAATGCAATCCCCATCAAAATCCCAACACAGTTCTTTACAGACCTCAAAAGGACAATCCTCGACTTTAAATAGAAAAATAAAACACCCAGATAGCTAAAGAAATCCTGAAGAATAAAAGAACTGCTGGAGCTCCAGACTGCATGTGTGCTACAGATGCATGGTTATAAAACCACACGGTATCAGCGTAACAACACACATCGGTCAATGAAATCACACTAAAGACCCAGACATGAATCCACACTCCTATGAACATCTGGGTTATTATAAAGAAGCCAAAAACACACACTGGAGAAAAAAACAGCATCTTCAAAAAGCGATGCTGGTCAAACTGGATGTGTGCATGTAGAAGAATGCAAACAGATCTACACTCATCATCCTGAAAAGAACTCACATCCACGTGAGTAAGAGACTCTATGACCCTGCCCTGTGTAAAATGTTAGCTGCTGAGTACTGAAGGCTCACACACAAGCCACAGCTGAATGCTCAACGTCTCAATCCTCTCACCTGACTAAACTGAGACAACCAACATGAGAGAGTTGCCCAATCGGAAATTTCAGTGGCTCAAGTTAACCCCCCAAATTATGCACCCACAGATTTGGTTTTCCTTCGTTCATATGAACTAACAAACTGGGAAAGTAAACAGAAAGGCACTCCCCTGCACAATCAGATCCTTCTTTATAACAGAGACACCTGCAGCTCACTGACTTAAGCAACCTCCAGTCTAGCTATGGCCTAGCCTATTTTCCCCTGTGGTGTACACAATAAACTATTTCTTCTATTCTGGTCTCAATGGAGAAGCTGTGTTTCACACAAACCCTTTTCCTATTAGTCCAATGGACAGCCCACTCTGTGATTTCAGTGGGTAGTCTTAGAAGTATGCACTGCTTGCTGGGCAGTGGTGGCGCATGCCTGTAATCCCTGCACTCCGGAGGCACAGGTAGATGGATCTCTGTGAGGTCATGGGCAGCCTGGTCTACAGAGTGAGTTCCGGGACAGCCTGAGCTGTCTCATTATACAAGAGTGATTATACAGCACACACAGTGACACCATCTGACTTCAAAACTTAGCATACAACTGCAATAAAGATTGTACTGACTGGAAAACAAAGAGACCAACAGAACATGACAGCAAATTTAGAAACACAATATAGTCAATTTTGACACATGAGGCCAGTGGGGCCTTACTAACACACGTAACTGGACCACCCTGGCATCTCTGTGCAGATGTGCTCATGACACAGACTTTACGCCCTGCACAGAATTAACTGTAGTCGGATCCTACACCTGAATGTTCAGTGCAAAATGCAGAACTTCTAGAAGACGATAGAGGAACCAGGGCTATGAGAGCAAAAACAGCGCATGCCTGAGCCCTGCACCAAAAGTTTCCGCACAAAGGTTCGTGCTTCCCAAGCTCTGCACCAAAAGTTTCCGCACAAAGGTTCGCGCTTCCCATGCTCTGCGCAGGCGCACCCCGGGAAGCCACGTGATTAGGGTGTCCGCTAGTTCCCGCCCAGCTCCCGGAAGTGACATAGCCCTCGTGTGACCTCACTGTGTTTGGCGGCCGTTTCCTACAGCTCTGGGAGGATACCACACTGGTTCCCACAGATTGTCCCCGCGTGGGGACGGCGCCCTTTCTTCACCATGGCCGGGTTCCGAGCTCCTCTCGCTCTCCTCACAGCTCGCAGCAGCGGGTTACAGCGTAGCATACGGAACACTAGAATCTCCCTCAGCCCTGGAGCTGCCGGAGCCTAAAGCACGGAGGACCGGAAGTACCCGCCCCATTCTGACTGGCAGTCCATGTAGAGGCCGTCATTGGCTAGTGATACCTGAGTGACAAGGATCTCCCTTAGAGACAGCGTGCAGTGAAGAGATGCCTCAGTGTAGTTCCCAACTGTCCCAGGCCGGCAGAGATTGGCATCGCAGCAGAACTTGCACTTGGACAGCAAAGTCGTCCCTAAACTTTTCCTGCACTCAGTAGGCAATTCTCTATCTGTGCACAGGGTCTCTAGCATATGAAGATAATTAAACAATGTGCTGTGGAGCGATCCCCCTGCCTCACAGCTAAAAGAGCTGTCCACCCAGGTCAAATACAAACCACCTGATTGATAGTCACCAGGCACCAGCAATTTTAATAAAGCACACCTAGGAGTGCTTATTAAGTTGGGGGCTCACACCTCTCTTGGCTGCACACTGCTATCCAAAATACAATTTCCCAGTTTTCTGTGGTGGCACTGGCCCATCATGCTGGCATTTGGGAGGTGGAGACAGGACATGGAAAGGTTAAGTCAGCCTGGAGACCCCAAAGGGGAGGTACCAGAGTGATGACCTGGGATGAGAAGGTTATGGAGTGGTAGATACTGCATAAGCAGATGACTCATGCTAAGCAAGATTATTAAATACAACTCTGGTACACTTTCTTCAAGAGGGAATCAACCAGAGTCAGCAGAAATCCTATTCAGCAATGCTGGCAAGAAGACCACAGCCTCAGGCTGAACACATGGTAGCCTTGGCTGTCAACCACAGCCCCTCAGGCTAGAGTCTGGTCCCCTCAATTCCTTCAAGACAGTGACTCAAATACCAGAACAGACTTTGCCAAGTCTGCCCTTTGGCCAACACACAGAACTAGTGTTCTCTTGGCCACTTTTATCGGGGGTCTCAGAAAAGGCCTTGGATTGAATTGGCTCCCAAAAGGCCCACCTCTAACCTCAACAAACAAAAATATATGAAAATGGAAAATAGTTTTGTGGAAGTCCTGCTTTTGGGACTTCCACTGAAGTTTTTGTTGTTGTTTCTTTGGGGTTTTGGTTTGGTTTGGTTTGGTTTGGTTTGGTTTGGTTTGGTTTGGTT